GCTGCCAGACCCCCACCCGCCTCCTCCCGCCTTCCCCCAGCTCCTCCTGGCCCGTTCCCTTGTCCTGTGCTGCACGCCAGATGTTTGTCCTTGCTTCTTCTGCATCTTCTCCAGCTCCACGGTTCCTCTTCGCACGCAGCAGTGGAGCGGCACCAGGGGATTGTTGGGTGGCAGAGTTATTGTTACCTTCCCTTTTGTTCTCTCCCCTTTGCCTCCAAATTCCCAGCGTTTGATGGCTGCTTTTACGGTCTTCTCGACAACTGCTCTGAGCATTTAGCTGATGTTTTCCTGCGACTCTGAATACCCAGGTCCCTTGCAGGTGTGGCAGCAGCTAATTCAGGCCCCACCGCTGGAGCTGGAGTTGTTTTTCCCCGCGCGCCTCGCGTCGTCGTTTAGCACCGCTCCGTTTCCTCCGCTGTTTTATCACCTTGCTGCTCAGTGGCAGGAGGTCCCTCCGGATTCTTCGCTCTCGTTTTTGCCATCCTGCACAGCTAAATCTCCCAGGCACGCTTTGTCATCTCAGGTTTGCCTTGTCGTGAAGCCCTTTTTGTGTGTGCCGAGCGGCAGAGCCCCCGTGGAAATCCCCCTTGGACTCCGCCGGCAGTCTCGTTTATGAAAGCCAAACATTGCTGCTTCTCTTTTAACCCATTATTAATATTTTAAGGGCTTTGCTCGTACGCCGTGGCGGATTAGGGTTTTTCCAAGAGCACTGGGAGATGGGGGGATTGTCAAAAGCCACCCAGGTTTTCCGGGTTGGGCTCTCTCCTGCAGAGAACTGGGACGGATCTGCAACTCCTTCTCTGCAAACCGGCGGCTGCGGCCCAGCGTGCCGTGTCTGCCCGCGCGTCGCTAACGCTGCTCCTGGTGGGCGCCGCGACGTGCCAGGTGCAGATGTCTGATTTCCTTATCTGCAGTTAGCCAGATCCCTGCAGAGCTTCGTAAAAGGAAAACAACGTGGCTTTCGGTGGCTCCCGGGTGGGTTCGAGCACGGGGTTGCACACGACAGCCGGTCTCGCTGCCGATTGTAGGGACACCCCGGAGCGATGCCGGGGCTGTGCTGGGGTACTGCCGTAGGGATGCTACAGGCTGAGACCCGTCTCGAAAAAGAAAGGTCTCGGCAGGGGGACATGTCCTGATCCTCTTCCTACAACGAATGTAGGTGTCAAGAAAAATTAATTTCCTTGCTACGCAGCCTCTTCTCTTCCCCCATCATTTATCGTCCCCGCAGTTGCTCTGACATGCATCCTGCTCCTGATGAACACATCAGTTTGTCGTTTTTCCTGGTTTTAGCAACACAGTCTCTTTTTTTTCCCTGACTTGCTTTGTTGTGTTAAGTTTATCTTGCCAGAGTTTTGCCTCATTTTCTACTTCCCCCATCTGGGGGTGACTTGAACTTCTTGAAGGATGTCTTCTTACTCCTAGGGGCTTGTTTTTAATATCCTGTTTAATCATGCACATGCCTCTGCCTCTCTCTGACAGGTGCAATGCATTTCTTCTGAGCCTCTAACACGATGACTTTGTGCCGCCAGCGAGTGCTTTGGTGTTTTGATTGTCTGGCTTTTTAACGGTTGCCCCAATTTTTTAAGGTGCTGAGTTGAAACTGAAGCCTGGGTGTGATGTACAGGGGCGAGCCTGGCCGGTGAAATGCCAGACTGTGGCGGTGGCAGGGCTTGTCAAGCCTCAACGCCGGGCACCTCCTGCCCAAGCTCCTTCTCGGGGGGTTTCAAGCCATCCTAAGCTGCGGAGGATTTTGGTTTGGTTTCCTTCCAGCTGCCTTCCTCTCATCTTGGTCCTGGAGGGCCCAGATAAGGTGCATCTCAAATAGCCACCTGAGCAGATGCCCTGCTAGAGGGTAAAACATCCCTCTGGGTATTTTTTGCCTCTGCTCTGCAGCAACGTGGCCTCAGCATCACCCTGCTTTTGCCTCCCCTTCCAAGCAGCCGGGGAGCATGGGGAGGGGGAAGCTGCCCAGCCCGGGACATCTCACCCGTCTTGGGAGCTGCGGTGCTGCCGGGGCAACTGTGCCTCTGCAGCATCAGCCACCGGCAGCCTCACGTCGAGGCGGCTCTGCCCGATCGATAAGTAATTTGTGCGAGGGGGCTCACCTTGCAGGGCAGCAATAATGAACTCTCTGGAGGAGGGAGAAACAATATTGTTAATACTGAAATCATCCCACACGGAAAT